GGCCAATTCAACATAAGAAAGCTTAGCCCCCCCCTCTTCTGAGACCAGGGCTGTCGTTAGCTGTCCCAATGCAGAAAGGGCAGCACCAATCTGATTTTGAAGATTATTAAAATTAGAGTCTCTTCGAGAGACCTGCTCATTAACAACAGCGGCGATCTCCGGATTTAAACGAGGGCCTTTTAAAAGGGGACAGTTACCAGCAGGTGGATATTTCTTTAATAAAGTATTTACAGAATCCTCGCTTAGACCGTTGCTAAGAACAAGGGACCACCTACTAGCCAAGTCAACATGAATGTCTGGCCCTAGTGATTCCCCAGCTGGTTTATCAATTCCCAGAAGGGCTAAGATATTGGGATCTAGGGTTGAAGTCCTCTCTTCTATAAGAAAAGGACCAGTAATTAACAGAAAAGCTATTGCCATAAATAGCCTCATTTTTGTATGTAGGTCTGAAATACTCCATAATATTTCAGAACCTAAAAACGACAAATTATGTAAAATATACCATAATATTTTACAATATTTAACTGCCATTTAAGCTATGTCGATTAAGACATGTAAAATATGCCATAATATTTTACAAATTGATCATGTCATTACCATGTAAAGACAGATAATAGTGAGTTATGTAAAATATACCATAATATTTTACCAACTTATTTCTTTAACCCCAAAAACAGAAGCTAATTAGGATTTATGTACCTCTGAAAGTGTTTGTACCAAGATCGTTTGAGTCTGCGTTAATACTGGCTGCGAGAACAGATAAAGGGACGTCGTCTTCATCCGGCAACACCGGAGAAACAAAACCATCCTGGTCTTGGTACGATGTCGATCCCGACTGGATCGAGGGAGATGGAGAGATGGATCTCTTGCCTTTTGATTTAGACTTAGTCGCCAAGCGCTTTTGTAATTTGGAAATTTTCCACTTAATAAAATCATCACTATCGGAATCAGAACTGTAACATCTTTTCCTATTCGACATGATTAAAACCAAACAAAATACACTATACAACACCAAACGTGAATTTAACGCGGCACTTACGTAATGTACGGCACGAAAACTAGGAATGAGCTGGATGAGGTAGGTACTAGACCAACGAAGGTACGGGTTAAGCGGGGTAGCACGCGGGTTGTTTACTTTAAAAATTCGTGGTGTGCGGTGTGAGATAGGGAAACTACGCTTGTTCTTATTTACGAACGAGGACGAAATATAATTATAATTTTTGCGTTGTCATAAAAATTTAGTTGTCTCTTGTTAAATCTAATTGGTAACTGATGTACGTATGTATAGACTTGGTTTGGGATGTGGTTCCATAGTTTGATAGGATTGGGGAATGAATCGATTTAGCCAAAGGTGGTCTCGAAATTCCATCACAAACTCCAATAAATTTCAGGTAAAATAGACATAGTTTCTCAACTATTTCCACATCGGTAGTAAGGGTTTCTCGTTTACGTAGAACTTTGGCTCGTGTTTTCGATAAAAAAAGCAGGAAAGTCAGCGGTAAACTTTCGCGGTGTCAGACAACTTATTTTGTGCTCGAAGGTTGATAAAAGTTGGCCGCCGGAAAGTTTTGACGTTCGTAATAAAACTTCCAGGTATCTGTGTGCGTGTGTGTATAAATATACATCTATGTGTGTGTGTGTGTGCGCGTGCCTGTATCATCTCTGCGAGTGTTGTTACCTTTTAGGGCCAGAGCGACGACGAAAACGAGTTTTCCTTGATTCCCTTCAGAGCACTTGTTTGTTTGTCCTCAACATCAACTTTAACGTTCATGTTTGTAGAAGTTGTTGGAAAGTTCGGTTTTCTTTGTTTTCGATAACTAAAATCGAAACTTGACGGGATTTATTAAAAGCAGTACTCATTTCCTGTTTAGGTACTATTGTGTCACTATTAGGCACGACTAAGATAACAGGAAAAAGTAAAGTGCGTACATACGATTTGTAGATTTAGAAAAAGCTTTTGGCAATGTTAAATTGGACAAGATGTTAAATATACTTAATATAATATATACTTAAGGGCAAAAGATTAGTATGCTTAGATTTGCAGATGATATAGCAGTATTAGCATCTAGCAAGGAGGATCTAGAGATAGCTTTAAATAAAATGGAAGCGGTACTGACAGATCAGTACTGTATGAAAATAAATAAAAGTAAAACTAAAATACTGATATGCAAGGGAAGAAAAAGTAGGGAAAGAGCGAATATAAAGATAGGAGACGAAAAATTAGAAGAAGTGG